CTTCCCTTTCTTTTAATTAACAGCACAGCACAGGTGATACTTTTGTGAGATTTCATTCTGAGTTACAACAAGAGTTTAATCTCTCTCCATAACTTGGAAATTTACAGCAAGTATTTTACTTCTACCTAAGTGTCCTGGATACGTAATACAGTCATGGTCCAAGTGCAATTTTGAATGTCACAGTAATATAATTAGTATATATTACATTGAAAGTTTAGCTTGTTTGTGTTTTAATATTCTAGGATTCAATGTAGCTTTCTTTGGCAATTAAAGTCACAACAGCACTGGAAAGGTTTTGTGTCAGCCTGCCCTACCAATATAAGGAATCAGAGTATTCCACTCATTGTAGGAAAATACTATCTCTGTATAGCTTCTTCCTTCCTCTCAAATCTGAAACAAATATTTATCTGAATTACTATTGCTCTTGTCTTTCAAGAAGCATAGCTAAAAGTAGGATTAAGGACAGGTGGTTTTCCACAGAGTAGTGTCCTGAAAGTCTGCAAGTTCATACACATTATTAACATTACTTCTGATCAAGGACAAAAAATAACAACACTATTGCTTCAAGAATCCTGGTTTAATGGAAGAATATCTAGATGCATCCCCTGCATTCTGTATTTATAGGTCTTTGTGGTGTTTCAATAAATTTAATCTGAGTATATTTTTGGTAATGCTGCATGAAAGGTAAGAAAAGATCTTCTGTCTACACATGGTTCATACCCTTGCAAGAAGCCAGAATCTTTGAGAAATTTTGGGGGTATGTAGCAAGTTTCTTCATGCATTAATTCAGTTTCCTTTGCCACAGATTCACTTGAGATACAAGACAGTTGGGCCCTACATTGTAACAGTCATTTCTTTTTGACAGCTCTGGGATAACCTGTAACAATTTAATCCTGATTTCTTTTTTCCACACAGACTGCATAATTTGTGTTGTGATTTAAAGATTTCTACATTTTAAATCCAGAAATCACAAATTACAACTGAGAAAAGATTCTAAACTCTTATTTATTTCTGTAGATTTTGAATTTGTCATTCTCCATAAAGAAAATAAAGACAATAAATTACAATAAAATAAATCTTCAGGGAAAGTATTGGTTTTTTGCAGGCCAGAGAAATAGCTGAGCTATGACAAGTCTTTCAAGCTTGATTCCAAGTGTACTTCTAGAAGAAATGTCCTATTCTGCAGGGCAGAGTATGCTCTTGTCAATCTCACTCTCCAAATAAGACAATCATAATTAAAAGTGCAAGCACACAGGATTTCCTTCTGTCTTTTTATCTTCTTCATAATTAAAAGTGCAAGCACACAGGATTTCCTTCTGTCTTTTTATCTTCTTTTTTATCTTCTTTATCTTCTACATGTTTTCTTGCTTTTCAGGTCCAATTCTTACGTGTACGTGTAGCCTCCAAACTTTTTTGACAATCAGGACACTGGATAAAAAAAACCCCCACCCCTGAGGTAGGTTTGGACCTACCTCAATTTTCTTTTCTTTTTGACATTTAAAAAAATTATTTTCTGACATATAAATAAATTATTACTTGTCTCCAGTGAGAAACGCTTTAGAGGCTAAGTAGGGTTGTGGGATTGATTGTCCTGAAGAACTGAACAATTTGATTCCAGAGACTCATGGTGGGGGGAGAAAGAGCCTGTAATTGTTCTAAGCACCAGCTTAACAGATGTGTGCACAATAGGCAGAAAGGTTATTCTCAGCAGTTGCCCCCTTGCAGGAGAAGAAAGTCTGAAGAGAAGGCACTGTGCTACCCAACAGAAAGCCTGTGGCACACCCCATTAGCTCCACAATACAGTACTTGGTATCAAAGATCTCTACTGTGAAAAAAAAAGAGATCAGCAACATACTGCAACCAGAAGATGAAAAGCAAAGGAAAATAAGAAAAAGAAATCAACCCTCCAAACCCCTAGCTAATTAAATGCATTATTGAAAAATCTCAACAGAAACGATTGGTTGCATATATTACAACCATTGGTTCTATTACCAGCAGTAGTTAGTTGCTGCTCTGGGAACAAAAACATATTAGGAAATGAAACATCACACAGCTTTTATGAATGGTTTAGACTCTTTAAAGCTGCTTTTGTAACCAGAGTTTTCTAGCGCCTCTATTTCTGCTTCCTATTGAGAGACCCACTTCTAACAACTGGTATTGCTATTGGGGGATGTGATCAATTTGAATGTGATGAACTAGCCCAGAATATAGGAAAAAGTGTTCAGATGTAGGGAATAAAGCAAGCACATGAAGAAACAAGTGCAGCCTGAATCCTGAAGCATACATAGCACCTACTCATACAGGACTTTTAAATCTATGGGTAATTTTTCAATTTCTAGAAAAGCAAGCCGCTTAGACAAGGAACAAATAGCTTCTAAAGTATTTTTCTAGCATAGAATGTCAAATCCACAAACTGACATTTGGTCCACCTGAGACCAAGTTCAGTGATAGATATTAAAGCTAGAAATGTGCAGAAAATGAACAGAAACCCTTAAGCTCCAAAGGCTCCTCAGGGACAGCACACAGGCAGTGGGAGTCATAAATATGTGCTGATAGAGGCAGGGGACTGACATGATACAAGACCTACACCTGCAGCAGTTAAATGCCATCTTGAAAAGAGAGCAGAAATACCCCTTACAGTGAGTAGACTCAACCACACTGCATGAGGAGGTGATTATAAAATGGTCCCTTCCCCTACTGGTTACTGCAGTTTCTGGTAGCAATGATAACTGCCTTCACTTTTTACTGAAGCAAAACCTGCTGCTTGCTGCTGTGGCTGCCTACAGCTTGACTACTGGAAGACACTTAGCTAAATATGCCTACTTAGAGGGAGCTGCATTTTAGCACTCATTCTTTTACTATGTATCTTCTCTTCCAAATGAACTTGAGATACAGTGAGTATTGGCTCATTAAGAGACATGTCAGCACAGCAACAACAATAACAACAAAAGTCCAAAAACAATGATTCCCTTTGCAACTACAGTGTCAAAAACGCCCAAACCCATTATGTAGCAGAAACTGTCTAAAATACAATCAAAAGCATAAAACCAGAGGGGAATAAAATACTGGGAGAGGAGACTACAAGGTAGTAGATTAAAAAGTTCTTGAAAAGAGAAAAAGAGTTAAATAACTCTTGCTCCTAATAAACCTTCCGGGATGGATGTAGCCATTAGTAGGAAATTTTTTTTTACAGGAGGAAGCAAAATTTCAAATTTGCACTGCCAGTCCAGAGATCTGATAATCTGTAAGAATATGTTATTTTCTCTTTTAACCATGCTAGAATTTGGAGGTAAATTCCCCTGCAGAAAAAGGTATGTTACAGACTGCAGCTAGTTATAACTTTACACTCTAAATGTCTCTGACTGAAGGCAAGGGAACATCTCCCGTAACCGGAATACATTTTTTCCCTACTGAATAAGGCAATGTGCCCAAGATTTTCCCAACAGGAATTTGCAGGTGCATCATTATGTGACCAAATTTTCATGACTGTTCAGTTCTGTTAGTCTCCCAATTACCTCATGGGAAGATCATCACTGGTCAGCAGCTCTGCAAATCTGGACCCCCTTAGGTGACCACGTGTAGGCTAAGGAGTCTTAAGATTGAATTCTCCTTCTTTAGAAAGTAACCTATCTTCATCTTTCTATCTAAAATAGCTTACTATAAAGAATAGGTACAGATCCCAGTTGTGCTGATTTAGCCAACTTGCAAGATAAACTGCTGTTTCAGTGTTTTTTATAATTCCATGGCCACACTGCAGTACAGCTGTTGCTGAATCATCTTCACCTTCCCAAATGAGCTGGTTTCGGAATGGAAGACACTTTGAAGATCTGCTCAGCTGCTGATAATCTGTCAGGAGCAGTCTTCACCATAGTTGAATAGTTATGGTAGCACTTTCACTCATGCTTCCAGGAGCTCTTAGGGATTTAATGCCTCCATGAAGTCCAGAACAAAACTCTGCTATAAAAACTTCAAAAACCCAGGCAAAGATTATATAGTTGTGGTGGTTTCACATTGACTGACATTTGGGAAAGGAGTAAAAAAAAAATCCCACGGAAGTGATTTCTTTAAGAGAAGCAGCTGTGAGCTTCCTCTGTGCCTGAGACAGGCCAATAGATGGCCAGTTCTGAGAACTGACAGTATTTTGCACCATTAAGATATTAGATCCGTGCCTGTGAATTCCACATTTTAAAAACCACAACCCTGGGAGCTCTTTCTCTTTGCTTCTGGCCTCGAAAAGTAGCAGAGCTCTGGTGAGGCCGGCCCTTCTCCCCCATGGCCTGTGCGGCCTGGGGAAGGCCGGGCCGGACCCCAGCGGCTCCTGGGCAGGGGATGGAGGCTGTGGGACCCCAGTCCCAGGCTGGGCTGGGCCATGGCTGCTGACATCTCACCGACACTAAAGCACCCCTGCCCCGGCCTGCACAGAGAGCTCCAGGCCGAGCCAGGACTGCCCACCCCTCCCAGCGGCTGCCGGCAGAGGGAGGGGCCCAGCGCGGCCTGAAATCCAACACCGTGACCGCCGTGGCGTTGGGTGAGATATTGACCCTTTCACTGCACAGATGAGACCTGCAGACCTTGTTCCTCTGCCCAGGGAGAGAAAAGGACAGAGTGACGACAGGTAGAAAGACAACATGGAAACGTCAAGGTCAGTAAAGAAAAGAGTCAAGCCCCAGACGGAAGGAGGATGAGGAGATGCAGAATGGGCTGAAATATTCTTTTGGTAGGGCCATGGAGATGGACAGTGATATACTGAAATATCTTCTTTAATTAATGAAAAAGAGTATGGGGGGATGAAGTATTCAAACTGTAGATCTGAGCAGAGGCATCCAATGAAGAAGCCAAGCAGATGTTGGAGTAGCTGTGATCCCATGAGACGCTTGAACAGAGAAAGATGAGAGCTGATGAAGACCCTTTGCATCCAGGGAGAGAAGAAGACAACCTCTGTTCCCAGAGATGATCACAGAGACAGATGAAGAAAACCTTTGCCTCTGAACAACTCATCCTTAAAATAATACCCCATGAGTTCATGGCCCATGGACACACCTCTAGGAGGGCTGTGAAATGGAAGGAATTTCACAAAACAACTTTTTGCCTGGGCGGCTGCTATTTGTGAAAATGAAAAGCCAAGAGAAAACTGTTTCTTGTGGAGAAGTCTCCATGACATGACAAGAGAAAAATCCTCTCCCTACAAGAACTGATGAAAGCTATTTAGATAAAAACTATTCATCTAAACTATTGAATAGGTAGTACTGCTTTAACATGCCAGGTTTTGTCTCTGTGTGGTCATTTGGGAAGGGAAAAAGTTGGGCACGGGGAGGAAAAGGTGTTCTGGAAGTTTTATTCTGATGCTTCTTATTCTTGTAGTCCTGTTAATAAAGTTTCTTTACACCTTTTAAGTTTTAAGCCTGTGTTGCCCTTCTCCTAATCCATATCTCACAGCAAGAAATGAGTAAGTACCCTGGTGATTTTAGCCAGCGCTAAAACCCACCACATTATTTGGTGCATTGGCTGGGAACCTCAAATTGGCAAATCTAAACCACTACAGATGGTCAAAAGGTACTTGAGAAGAAGTATATTTTCTGATTAAAACCATTATTGACTATGGATGGTGATTGGTATGGATTTGATATCATCTCAGGTCAGTGGTTTTGCTGTAGTATGACAGAACTGCTTGAAAAGCACTCCAGCCTAATAAAACTTCAGTAACCTATTGAAAAGTTTAATGCCTAAAATGTCAATTTAAAATAAATTGTAATGAAACCTGTATTACTTTCTAAAGCCTGGCAACTCTTATGAGGAGGGCCAGAATTTTGCCCTGAGAAATTTGCCCATAATTTAATTTTGTATGAGTAAGTACCCTTTTCCTCAGATATCCTTTTCCTTAAATGGCTGTTGTGTATACAGAAGGTATTTTTACTGCTCTGCCACCTTGATTAGGAAAACAACAACATTATGATAACATTAATCCATTTCTTCTTGTCAGGATCACCAGGGCAGAGACTTGTGTGATGACTGAACAGCAGTACATCTTTGTGTGCAGGTGGGATGCCACCTTTGAAGGGCTGCTCAGTGTCCTGGGACTCTGGTTTCTCTTGTGATGTGTCAGGTAAGGGCCAATTTGTCAATCCATTGAATTCTGTCTCTCCAAAAAAGCATATATGGGGGGTTGAAGCTTAGCAAAATTAGGTTGAGCATTTCAACTCTGCAGCAGCTTTACATGTTCTGGAACTATCCAGGAAGGGATGGGTCAGTTGTTAATGACGTGGACACACCTGAGCTGCCTGCTGTTGTATGGGCATGCACTAACACATCCAAGGGGACAGAAGAAGCACTGGTGTCCTGCTCACTGTCTAAACACAGTGTTGCACCATGGCTAGACAAGCTGAGCTGCTCCAAATTCATCACCTTTTCAATCAGAGATCAGCTGTGATAAATCACCATGTTGGACCGCAGAAATGCAATAGAACTGGGTCAGCCTTCTTTACCTGACTGCTACTGGGAATCATATAATAACATGTACAGAAGGGATTCAAAAAGCTTGAGAACAGTGACCTTGAAAAACTGAAAGCCTGGTCACATAACACAGTCACGGATGTGTACACAGAGGCACCATGGATTACCCAGCAGGCAGGGAGCTGGAGAATGCTAGCCTGAAAAAGTAAGTTCACAGTAGCTAAACTGAGGGAATAATTCCTCAAGATGTTTTAATAGAGTTCTGTCACTGGAGCCAGCCAGCCACTAGAGGGAGGAATGATCTAGTGCTGCCAATGACTGCTATTCATTATGCTTCCACAATTCATTATGTTTTTCTTAAAGCTCATCTCATGAGGCTTGCAAAACCTTTCCAGCTAAAGGACAAAAATACCGAGCTTTCACAGTTGGTGAAGAAAGCACACAAACACAAAGTTCAAGGGCTCAGGAAACAGAAAACATATAAAAAGAGAATCTGCACGTCTCCTTAGGAATATATTCTGATTTTTATAGCCCACATGAATTGTGGACCTGATTTTCAATTAATTAGGATCCATAAGGCAATTTAATTTCATAGCATTCAGCATATCATTAACAAAAATTGTAGGATTTAAAGCTTTTTTATATGCCTTTTGTGATTCAAAGTATTTTTCTTGGTAACTAGAAAGGGCAGGTCAGTACTGGGGTTGAAAGAGGTATTTTCCTCCTGTACATAAACTAGCAACTTGCTAAAAATGTAACTTCCATATTCTTCAGGAATAAAGCTATTTGAAAGTAGAAACCAAAGAAAAGCCCAACACAATAACACACTCTCAGTGGCTGCATTGCTAATCTTGAGCTTTTTCACTCCAGATTACTATGCTAAACATCCATTTATAGCAGGAAGGAAGCAATTTGGATATGTGAAGCAGGGTTTTGTGTGTAGAGCTATTCACTATTCACTGATAAGATATTCAGTAAGAGGAAAATGCTAAGTAAAATTAAAAAGTTGTTTTTATCTGAAGAAAAGCAAGTACTTAATGAGATAGGTAATTGCTAGATGTTTAGCAGGTCAAATCTTAGAGTTTTGCTAGAGGTCTGTCAATGGAAAAATCTGAGTCACATTTTTTTTTCCTCAATTTAAGACTAATTCTGCAAACTTAGCAGGCCCAGTTCTGTCTTTCCAAACAGGAAATAGGTAAGCTTAAACTAAGCAGAAAAAACTTTTTCATAAAAAGAAAAGACTGCGGAAAGCTCATGGATAACCTAGTTTTGAGTGCACTAAGAGATTCAGATGTAAGTAGAAAACTGCTCCTTCTCTAGCCCTTGTGGGTTTTACTGTACCTGTCTCTTGTTAGACAATTAGGCTGTCATCAGTGTAGAACCATTGGTGCTGCTGTCAACCCTCTTCAAAGAGGAGAAATCAGGAGACAGTATGTCAGAGACAAATCTTTCCCACAGCCTTCCAAATGGCTTTTAATCAGAAAATTCACAGGTTTTCCAGGAATAGTCACACACAGAGCATACAGTGGGAACCCCCTCTACTCAACCAGACTGTGATTTTCAGTGTGTGGTGTGCTTGCTTCTCTTGCAGAGCATACCATGGCAGCTCAAGCTCTGAAAAGTACTAAAATATCTTTTCCTAGCTCTAAAGGCCTTCCCTATGGAAAAAAAAAAAAGAAAAGAAAAGAAAAAGAAGGCATTTTAAGATTCCCTTCTGCTATAGTGTGAAGCGTAAAAAATAAAAGAAAATTTATAGAGAAGTGAGTGGGAAGCTGTGCGTAAGCGTATGTGGGCAGGTCGTGGAGGGAAGAGGAGATGTACAGCCAGCTGAAGGGCAGCATGCCCCCTGTGAGAGTATCTGAGCCACCTCTAGGACATATGTTAGCAGTGGGTGTGGGCTGCATGGTGGTAAGAGATGGGATGTCTGTCAAGTTAGAAAAAGATCAGACCTATGAATTTCAACAGAGACAGCAGAATGCAGCATTACTTAGTGCTACTGCTGGGAGTAGCTTGCTCCCCTCTGGGCTTTCACATGGCACAGGGAGAGAGCAAAGATGTGCAGCAGGTGGAAGGAGAGAAGGGAAGCACAGCTGAGGAGGAACTACAAGAACTGACCCTTTTATTCCTTGGTGGGGCTTTGCCAGCCTCTGCAGTTCTTCCTCTGGCAGGGAAGCACAAGGATGATTTATTTTCTTCTCCCCATGCTGTGCCTCACTGCTCCCGCAGTATGGTGGGGCTCTTCCCAGACATCTCAGTGAGCACTAGAAAATGCTGCCACTAAACAGGAGCACAAAGCAGAAGCCAAGAGCAAGAGGACAATGACTAACACAGACTGTATACCATCTCTACAGCCTCTTTAGAAGGTTCTGTAATTTCTGCACTGACTGTAGTGAATCAATCCTGGTGACAACCCAATGTATAGGAGGTGCACATCTGCCCCGAGCTGGAGGCACACGGACAGCAGTGCTTGGACAGTGGCCAGGAAGGGAACAGCAGCAGCGGGATGTGCTCGGCCCCTGCTCCCCAGGGCACAGCTCCTGCTGTGCAGGCACAGCACAGTGTGCCACACTCTCCCACCGCTCTGCTCCCCTCTGGCAGAGAAAGGGGCACGATACCTGAGAGCCTTGCAATTTCAGTCCTTCATTTTAATTGCTCAACTGATCCTCCCCTTCCATAGGGGAACAATTCAAGCCAGGCTTTCTGTTCCAGGTGCACCCCTCAGGCTCTTTTCCGACCAGAGAAACACCACGCAGTAAAATCATACCTTAGAGTGCTCCTGAACTATAATTAACCTTAGTGTATCATTTTTATGGAATATAAAGCAGTTAAATTTGTCTGAAATCAAAAGGCCTTGGAAGAAGAGTGGCAAGATAATGTTTTTTTTAACAAGCAGCTTGATTAATTCATGGCAGAAGTTATCATCCCATTGTGTTGGGTAGGAGGCAGACATTTAAAACCTCTTATCAACTTTGTCCAGGGGAGAAGAAAAACCTCAATAGATTTGAAATGCTACACTTGAGACATTTACACAACCCACTGCAGAATCCAGCACTGAGGACCCAGATCCCAATTGCATAGGATCCCCAAGGACTGTCAGAGAAACAGTCAAGAACCATTTTTATGTGTCTTATTCCTATTAAGACTCATGCCCTGGGGAGAAAAACTGCTGTTGATTTCATGAATGGTGCATACCTCCCCACGGAGCACAATGCCATCCCAATGGATATCTCAGGCCTTTACTGGGGACAGTGGGTAGCCCCAGGAGAAGGGCAAGAGATTCACATTTATTACTCAGATCTGACCTGGATCACATCTAACATTCCCATACAGGCTGGCTTCAGTGCTGGCCATCACAGAGGCATTGAGAGAGTAACTGTGAAATATAGGATAGCACAATAGAAACTGTAGGATTCAACCCAGAAGTAAACTTTTACCTGTTTCTGGCTACTAAACAAGATTAATTTTACTTTTCATCTCTAGAAATATTAATATTCTATTTATGAGAAGGGTTTAGATTTTTTAGAATATTGATAGCTGAAAATGTTGTAAAAGAAGCTTGCAAATAAATCTCACAAAATTTAAATTTGGAGTTCTAAGGTTTACTTTACATGTCAATTTTATTTCGTCCTCTTCTTTAAACATACTCCTTAAAAATAAAGAACCTTCCTCTATGTATTATTTACTCTATTTTGTACCTGGTTTAAAGGACTTACATAAAATAAAATACATAATCTGGGAACACATTCAAAAGAAGAAGAATCTCTACAACATCAGCATCCAGCTATAGCCCTATTTTTAAAGAGATAAGTGTTCAGGTGATTCATTGTTTGTATGAACATCAAATGGAATATTTTATTATTCTTTGGGCTGTTGCCCTTAGGGGAACTAGTTACATTAAATAACAAACTACCATTACATGGACATACTGATTCCAAGAACAAGGGAAGAAATATAGTCATAACAGGCAATTTCAGCAGAAAATGCAGGCTTGTCCATATTCTGCCAGAGGCAAAGCACTCAGATGGATACCACAGTCATCACAGAGATATAGCGAATCTGATTAGCTTCTCTGGAGAAGGAACAATTAGAGCTGATGGGATAAAGCCTCCTCAGCACTCACGTGTGTTTGCATAGGGATCAGTGTGCAAGGACACCTGACTGCTGGCCAGTGACAAGGGCACCTCAGCTGCTGGGCTGTGGCTGTGAGCCACTGCAACAGCTTCTGTTTGGAGAAATGGAGCAGGGAGCAAACCCAGTTGCTGAGGAAATCACTCCAAAGATAGCTTGAAGCGTGACTGAGTGCAGCTACCCACCACGTGTACAGTGGCAGCAATGGAGCACCAAAAGCAAAGGAAGGCAGAGCCACTTTCAACACAAGCTGCACGCCTCCCCTGTGCAAGGATGCAAAGAAAGGGATCCAGGAGTACTAACAACAGACTGGCTCTAGTCAGGACAAGAAACTGTGGCATGAAAAAACTGTGAAAGACTCAAAAGAATGATGTTAATAACTGCACTAGTGAAAAAAAAAAATAATTAAATGACCACTGATGAAATTCTAGCAGGAGGATTAGGATTATAATAAAAGGGTTATTATAATTAGGGTTATAATAAAAAAAAGCAGAAGATGCTGCTCCATACTGATTATTCTCAAGG